ATGCAGCGAAAAATTGGCAGTCTTTCAGCCGTCAGCAGTACTTTGACTCTCAAGGCCTATTCATCAGTGTTGTCTTCTCCATGCCTGTTCTCTTTAATTGCATGATGATGGTGGTGAGTGTAAATTCATATTGTCCCCTAGTAAATACTATAATGCGATAATACTGAGATTATTAATTGTATGTTTATTTTCATTGTTGTAATGAATGTTAATGATATGTATATATATATATACTTTTTTTATATATATATAACTGAAAAGCAGTTCAAAATCTGTTTCTTTATCATCATATTGGAAGGGCAATATATATATGTGCTACAATGTACCTGCATACACGGGGCATTATTTGAAGCATCATCTTAATAGGGTAATGATCTTAAAATGCAATGTTAATGTGACTGTTGTTCTTCTCAGATAAACTGGTTATGGTTAAGCAGCAACATGATGGTTACCTACAAGAGAGTGGAACTAGAGGCAAAACTTCGCAATGACTCACGAAGGCGAAGTGAATCACAGAGAAGTGAATCAAACAGAGGTGAGGTGGTATCTGAACAAGCAGACGAAAGCAAGAAGAACAAATGAGGAATAGTACATGGCTAATTATGAGGATGTGGTTTGTTTTGAGAGTGGTTGGATATATAGCTAAAAGTGTGCAGGGCAGCAGTCACAATTTATTTACATGGATCTTAAGGTTTGGCTTAAATTACATAGAAACAAAACTTCTGTGAAATATATTCTGCATAATATATAGATTATTAGCTTAAATCATATATAAACATTACTATGCATATGATAGAGGGTGTAATACTTACAATTGCTATACACATTTCAATTTGATTTCAGTGTTTATATTATGGAAATATAGGATGTGTCAGTGATTCATAGTAAAGGAGAGATTATTCTGAAATGAACACTTTGTGCACCTTCTCATTTGTGGTACACTAGTAGAAAAAATTGATTGTATCATATTTGAGCAATATAATGTATTAGCTATATTTTTCTGTACATTTATTTAAGCTTAATTTTTTTTTTTTTTTTAAGATATACAAAGGAAAAGATAAAGTAAAAGCTGCTATGTTTTCCTGAGGAGTGATTTATTGATATGTAGTTTATTATGAGGGTTTTTCTTTCACATATTATGTTGTGTGACAAGTTTGATTTACAGTTTTATTTTGGGGCTTAAGCTTTGTACTCCGTACTTAATTATGCACTTGTGTAAATTGTAGGATCCACATCTTTCTTTGTGAAGAGTTGTTTTGAGTTTTGATCATTTTATGTATACTTTTTAATGTTTTATTATGTACTAATGAGGCTGCTTAAAGTTGTAAGGAATATATGTATGTAATAAGCAAGTAATCAGATGACCCTAAGGTTACCAGAGTTCATATTTCAAGGGACAGTAGATCTAGTCATAGTTAACATTTTGAAGTATTTTGATTTTGTATTTAAACTGTGAGGGAAAATGGAGGCAGTCACATTTCCTTGCAGCAATTATTTGTATTGCCATGCACATATTCTTAAAGATAATGAAATGCAAAATTACTTGTGCCATAGATCAATTGAGGAACAGGAGGTTTTGCTTATTGCCAATTTGGAAAATTTGTGGGTTCTGTTCATTTTGTCCTATTCATTGTGATATAAAGAAAAGTAGTGTGATACATTTTCATTGTCTTAAAGTGTTAGTATTTTCCACAAAACAATCATACATCTTCGTATGCACATGTGCATACACATACACACTTCCATTTTATCTCCCCCTTCATCACTTTCATATCTTAAATTAAGTGATGCTATGGCCTGCACTAGGCACATCCTGATATAAGCTTCTCTTTGTTTTATTTCCCATTATTTCATTACATAGGTATGTGGAAGTGTTTAGGTATCCTGTATAGTAATTTTCATGCTGTAATTGTGTTTGTAATCATGTTTTGGTTGGGTGTGCTTTTGTCATCCTCATCTAAAAGAGAATATATGATACAACTGTGATATCAATAAATGTATGTTTCATAAGCATTCCTTTCCATTCAGGATTGAGCTTAGTAGATAAATCAGCCCATTTTCAGGTACAATTCCTTTTAGTTTTGTAACATGTGGATGGTATATAACAATCTTCTGAAGAAGCACTTAAATTGCTTTTCTGTATTTGTGTTAGCAAAAACACAAAATCAGAAATTTAGTTAATGATTTTTAGAAGAGGGTTCAATTTTTGTATAAACCAAGTAATTTAAACAAATTGTGTCTAATGGTGTTTAGATTACTTGTTTGTTTTGGATTTTGAATATATATCATTTGATTTGATTTCATAGTGACATTTTTTTTTTTTTTTTTTTTTCTTTACTTTACTTTACTTTACTTTGTGTTTGCAAGGAAGCAGTAGTTTATGTTCTGTCTTAACTTCTTTTTTTAAATCGCTTCTTGTTATGTTTAAATGCGTTGCTTTTTTCTGGCCAAGTAAACATATTTTACCAACTTGGCGAAATTGCAGATAAGTAAACATCTG